AGCCAGCCAGTGTCACCAGGTACCTCCGCAGCCCGCTAGTGTCACCCAGTCACCTCCACAGCCAGCCAGTGTCACCCAGTACTCCACAGCCAGCCAGTGTCACCAGGTACCTCCGCAGCCCGCTAGTACTCTGGGCACTACCAGCCAGCCAGTGTCACCAGGTACCTCCGCAGCCCGCTATGTCACCCAGTACCCACAGCCAGCCAGTGTCACCCAGCACTCCACAGCTCGCCAGTGTCACCAGGTACCTCCGCAGCCCGCTAGTGTCACCCAGTACTCCACAGCCAGCCAGTGTCACCCAGTACCTCCACAGCTCGCCAGTGTCACCCAGCACCCCACAGCCCGCCAGGTCACCCAGGCCCACAGCCAGCCAGTCACCCAGTACCTCCGCAGCTCGCCAGTGTCACCCGGTGCCTCCACAGCCGCCAGTGTCACCAGGCACCTCCACAGCCCGCCAGTGTCACCCAGTACCTCCGCAGCTCGCCAGTGTCACCCAGTACCTCCACAGCCCGCCAGTGTCACCCAGTACCTCCACAGCTCTGCAGTGTCACCCGGTGCCTCCACAGCCCGCCAGTGTCACCAGGTACCTCCGCAGCCCGCTAGTGTCACCCAGTACCTCCACAGCCCGCCAGTGTCACCCAGTACCTCCACAGCCCGCCAGTGTCACCCAGTACCTCCACAGCTCGCCAGTGTCACCCGGTGCCTCCACAGCCCGCCAGTGTCACCCAGGCACCTCCACAGCCCGCCAGTCACCAGGTACCTCCACAGCCCGCCAGTACCACCCAGTACCTCCGCAGCCCGCCAGTGTCACCCGCACCCCACAGCCCGCCAGTACCACCCAGTACCTCCACAGCCCGCCAGTGTCACCAGGTACCTCCACAGCCCGCCAGTACCAAGTACCTCCACAGCTCTGAGTGTCACCCAGTACCTCCACAGCCTGCCAGTACCACCCGGTACCTCCACAGCTCGCCAGTGTCACGGTACCTCCACAGCTCGCCAGTGTCACCCAGTACCTCCACAGCCCGCCAGTATCATCCAGTACCTCCACAGCCAGCCAGTACCACCGGTACCTCCACAGCCCGCCAGTATCACCCAGTACCTCCACAGCCCGCCAGTACCACCCAGTACCTCCACAGCCCGCCAGTGTCACCCAGTACCTCCACAGCCCGCCAGTGTCACCCAGTACCTCCACAGCCCGCCAGTGTCACCCAGTACCTCCACAGCGCCAGTGTCACCCAGTACTCCACAGCCAGCCAGTACCACCCAGTACCTCCACAGCCCGCCAGTGTCACCCAGTACCTCCACAGCCCGCCAGTGTCACCCAGTACCTCCACAGCCCGCCAGTATCACCCAGTACCTCCACAGCAGTACCACCCAGTACCTCCACAGCCCGCCAGTGTCACCCGTACCTCCACAGCCGCCAGTGTCACCCAGTACCTCCACAGCCCGCCAGTGTCACCCAGTACCTCCACAGCCCGCCAGTACCACCCAGTACCTCCACAGCCCGCCAGTACCACCCAGTACCTCCACAGCCCGCTAGTGTCACCCAGTACCTCCACAGCCAGCCAGTACCACCCAGTACCTCCACAGCCGCCAGTGTCACCCAGGTACCTCCACAGCCCGCCAGTGTCACCCAGTACCTCCACAGCCGCCAGTGTCACCCAGTACCTCCACAGCCCGCCAGTGTCACCCAGTACCTCCACAGCCCGCCAGTGTCACCCAGTACCTCCACAGCCCGCCAGTGTCACAGTACCTCCACAGCCCGCAGTACCCAGTACCTCCACAGCCCGCCAGTGTCACCCAGTACCTCCACAGCCCGCCAGTGTCACCCAGTACCTCCACAGCCCGCCAGTGTCACCCAGTACCTCCACAGCCCGCAGTGTCACCCAGTACCTCCACAGCCCGCCAGTGTCACCCGGTACCTCCACAGCCGCCAGTACCCACTCCACAGCCGCCAGTGTCACCGGTACCTCCACAGCCGCCAGTGTCACAGTACCTCCACAGCCGCCAGTGTCACCCAGTACCTCCACAGCCCGCCAGTGTCACCCAGTACCTCCACAGCCCGCCAGTGTCACCCAGTACCTCCACAGCCCGCCAGTGTCACCCAGTACCTCCGCAGCCCGCCAGTGTCACCCAGTACCTCCACAGCCCGCCAGTGTCACCCAGTACCTCCACAGCCAGCCAGTATCACCCAGTACCTCCGCAGCTCGCCAGTGTCACCCAGTACCTCCACAGCCCGCCACTGTCACCCAGTACCTCCACAGCCCGCCAGTGTCACCCAGTACCTCCACAGCCAGCCAGTATCACCCAGTACCTCCGCAGCTCGCCAGTGTCACCCAGTACCTCCACAGCCCGCCAGTGTCACCCAGTACCTCCACAGCCCGCCAGTGTCACCCGGTACAGTCCCCCTCACTAAAGCGTTTACAGGGGCTCGTCTTATAAACATTCCACAAATCATCACATTGACATATTCACTTCAATGTTGTTATAATTTGATTACATAATATGTTTCCTATTACAAGTTTCCTTCTGTCGGGTGTAAACAAACACTGGGCTGCCACACCGCACAAAACCTGACGAGCCCCTGTAAACACACTAGTGAAGGGGACTGTACCTCCACTACCTTCCACCCCCACCCCACACGGCCACCATCCTTTAACCACAAACCTATTTCTTCTAAGTTGTATTATTCTGCTTCCCATCCTCCCTCCTACTCCCTATCCACACATTTCAACTACACCGTCACACTGCCCCCCCCCCTCAACAACTAGGATCTATCCCCACACACGCCCACTCCCCACTTCCCCCACACCTGGACACACCCCACATCCCCCCCCACACCCCTGGACACACCCCCACACCGCTGCTGGCCTGGTATGACCTCACCTTGAACGTCCTTGAAGGCAAGACTTCTGACTTCTATCTCCCTGGCTGCTGAGTGCTGATCTGTTGACACCCCTCACTTCCTCCCCCATACACCCCCCCACTCATTCTCCACCCTCACTCCTCTCCTCCACCCCTCACTCCTCTCCTCCACCCCTCACTCCTTCCGTCCACCTCTAACTCCTTCCCTCCACCTCTCACCCCTCTCCTCCACCTCTCACCCCTCTCCCCCTCCCTATCACCTAGGGTCACCTGACGAGGCTGGCGGAGCAGGACTTGGAGCAGATAAAAACTAGTCGGCCAGGCACTCCCTCTCTTACCTCCACTCAGGAACTAACTCACTCAAGGTAGGAGATCTGTGTTACCGTAGTGTTGTGATGCTAGTTAACAAGGTCTCCAAGTGTCACTAGTAGAGGGGTGGGGGAGGGGGTAAGGGAGGAGTACCAGGTAGTGGGGAAACCGGAGAAGCCGCCCACAAGCAACAGAGGTAAGACAGGTGACAAGTGTAGCCTCATTACCCCATCACCCTCACCGAAACTACACACCTCCGCCACTCCACCACAGTACCATACCACCACTCCACCACAGTACCATAGCACCACACCGCCATTGCACCACACCACCATTGCACCACACCACCACTCCACCACAGTACCATAGCACCACACCACCATAGCACCACACCGCCATTGTACCACACCGCCATTGCACACCACCACCATATCATCACACCAACACAACACCATACCTTCTCATCTATCACCTCCAATACACACACAATATCCAGTTACCTTATTGACATCATTTACTAAAAGGGAACACAGAAAGAGTTCAACCGAATGGGAGTTAAAAATGGATGATATATTACACAGGTATACAGTATAACGTACAGGTAGTTGGGTCATATTGCACAGGAAGCATACAGGTAGTTGGGTCATATTGCAGGAAGCACAGGTGGTTGGGTCATATTGCTGGGAAGCATACAGGTAGTTGGGTCATATGCACAGGAAGCATAAGCAGATAGTTGGGTATATTGCACAGGAAGCATACAGGTAGTTGGGTATATACACAGGGAAGATACAGGAGTTGGGTCATATTGCTAGTATATATTATAAGTAGTTGGGTCATATTGCATAGTGAAGCATTAATATAGAAGTTGGGTATATTGCACAGGAAGCACATGGTAGTAGTTAGGTATATGTTGCTGCACACAGGAATAATACAGGTAGTTTGCACATTGTTAGTATATACAGGTATAGTATATTGCATGGAAGCCATGGTAGTTGGTCATATTGCACAGGAGCTAATAGGTAGTTGGATCATATTGGCCAGGAAGACACAGGTAGTTGGCATATGCACAGGAAGTATACAGGTAGTTGGCATATGCACAGGAAGCATACAGTAGTTAATATATTGCACAGGAAGCATACAGAAGTTGGTATATTGCAGGTTGAAGCATACAGGTAGTATGGTCAGATGGTGAGAAGCATACAGGTAGTTGGGTCATATTGCACAGGAAGCATTGGTATAGTAGGGAATATATTGCACAAGTAGTCTACAGGTAGTTGGGTCATATTGCACAGAAGCATACAGTAGTTGGGTCATATTGCACAGGAAGCATACAGGTAGTTGGGTCATATTGCACAGGAAGCATACAGGTAGTTGGGTCATATTGACAGGAAGCATACAGGTAGTTGGGTCATATTGCACAGGAAGCATACATAGTAGTTGGGTCATATTGCACAGGAAGCATAAAGGAGTAGGTCATATTGCACATGGAAGCATACAGGTAGTTGGGTCATATTGGGTATTGAGGTTATGTCATGTTGTACAACTAACATTAAGATAGTTCGGTGACAGGTGGTTGGGTACAATGACCTCAGGTAGTTTAAACCATACTGGGCAGGTAACGTATAGTACAGTGATTAGGTCATAATGCACAGGTGGTTTGATGACGTTATACGGGTGACTCATTCATACTGCACACAGGTGAATGAGGTCATAATGCCAAATAGGTAGAAGGTCCATATTGACAGGTAACGTAGAGTATAGCAATCATAACGCACAGGTAACTCGGTCAAATTACACAGGGTTGGGGTCATGTTACAGAAGGTCGCTTGGCCCACTTAATTGTTCAGTCTTCCACTCAGCCAATAATCGTTAGTGGTAGGTTCTCTTGGTCTATATTGAGGCGGTGTAAAATTTCACTCACATAATTTAGATATTGTGTTTCGGGAAGAAGGTCCTTGTTATCTGATACCTGTCATGAAGGTTCCTGGGAGAGTTTGTAGGTCTCGTGAGGCCCTGTCCTAGACACCATAGTCGTAAGAGACGCAATGTAAACACTCTGAGCCAAGATAGTGGACTGGAATTTTGGAGGGGGGCTGAGGGGGGGTGTGGGGGCTGAGGGGGGGCTGAGGGGCTGTAAAGGAGGTGGGGCTGACTGACCATTAAGATTGTGACCCCAAATCCCAATGGAAAAGCGAGATCAAGGGTAGACGATTAGGACTGAATTTTAGGTTAGGGTTAGAAAGGATAGAGTAATGTGTATTGGAGTTAGGATACTATTAAGGTTGGAGATAGGTTGTTGAGGTGGTAAAATTGTTAGTTAGGTTAATTTTGATTTGCCTTGGTTAGGTTGGGTCTTATGAGAACTTGGGCCCACCTGACCAGTCACCACTGTAGGTACCTTCATCATTAAGGTTTTATACTGTTACACAACCTGAGATTAAAAATTAAAATAAATAAATAAATACACCTAGTCGTGGAGTCTCATTCATCTTAAACATCAAAAATTACCATCCTCTCTCCACTCCAGGATCTCCCCCAATGCTCTGCCGTAAGAGACCGTCTTGACTGAGCCTAAGGTGACTTAGCTACTCAGTATGACATTAAGGGTGTTTTACCGCGGGTGTAAGGAACGCCGGGCTTTAGTCATGTCTAGTGATCTCATGTCGATTTTAATGGTTAAGTCTTAAGTCTTTAAGTCTTTATCCTAACCATATATAGTAGGGGCTTGGTGCTCATTTAGGACTGATGCCTTTTAGAATTGGTTCCATTGGCACTGAGGCCCATTGGACTAACCATAATTTAACAGATTATGTAGGTTAGGCCTATGGGACTGAGACTAATTTAACTATAATGGCAAAGATCTGCTTACGCGACAATTACAATTTACAACAACACACAGTCTCATCAGTTACCAGCTTGGCCTCATCATTCTCACGTCACCACATCCAGAGTAAAACTCTTTATAAATACAAGGTGTGGTCCTCGCTCTTCAGTTCCCTGACAAGTCAGGTCTTCCTCCCTGTTTACACGCCCGGAGACAATTTTTATAATTCTTCATCACTGATTCTCTATCCTCACTTGCCCTGACACATTATACACAAGTCGGTTTGTCTCTGAAGCCAGACACAAATATGTACCTTTGTTGACCGGGGTGTCAAGATTAAACTGTTGTGAATCTCTCCCATAGGCCCCAAATGAACAGGACGGAATTGGTGACCTCGCCAAACCTACGTCTGTCAAAAAACCACTTTGGAATTTGACGCAAGCAGACAAGTGCAATAAGAAACAACCAATCCATAGCTTACAATGATGTATATGTATATGGAGCAAGTAACAAGATCACTAGAATACAAGATGTTGTAAATCGCTAGACTAAGGTTAGATATAAGTACCTCTGGCAGTACATCCCTCAAGCAGATGTGAACAAAACTAAATATATAAAGTGTGTGGTAAACTGGTGACATACTTCTATCGGGTTATGACCATTGACTCTTGACCTCGAAAACTGTTTCTTTGGTTATAGTGTTGAATCGTTAGGCATACTGCAAACCTCACTGTTTTGTCTACTTTCTTGTCATGGTTACAATTCACAGACAGACAGATACGATACGTACAGACGGTGCTGATTGTCTTCTACACGACTCTGTCCGTCCACTTTAAACAATTATATAGCAAAATACATATGGATGAGAGGCAAGTGTTTGTATATCACTATTTATGAAGAATGACAAACTCTATTCTCTCAGGAGACTGTTCCTGTTACATCACGTTACAAGAAACGTTTATCACAGCTCTTGCAACCAATTTATTGCTTTTCACTTCCACAGCTCTACAGTCACCCTAAACGTTTATCACTACCTATAGCCTTTGCAAATCATTCCAAACGGGTTTCTCACTACCTACAGCTCTTCAACCATTCCTAAACGTTTCTCTACTACAGCCTAAAACCACCCTAAAACGTTTATCACTACCTACAGCTCTACAACCATTCCTAAACGTTTCTCACTACCTACAGCTCCTGCAACCAATCCTAAAACGTTTTCACTACTTACAGCTTTTTATTAACCACTCCTAAACGTTTCTCACAACCTACAGCTTTACAACTAATTCTAAAATGTTTCTCACTACTCTAGCACCTACTTCTAACACATTTCATCTCACATATTTTAAAAAAGACGTTTCTACTACCTACTGTACAGCCGGAGACTAACATTCATAACGTG